CTGTCTTAATAATTTATAAATTATGACGAGATTTTATTCGTCTACATAACTTTGAAAAAGCTGGAGGCGACGAACAGATTGACCGAAACCTAATTAAGATAAGAATGAATATATAACTAATGAATCTAAATAATTAATGAATGATGACCATACAGGACTAAAATAATATCAAGGAAAGCTGAAGAATAATGATGACCGAAATACTGTATTGAAAACAGAAATATATATATATATATATATATATAGGTCGGCGCCGATAAACCGCGGTATTTGGGGTTAAAACTTCTACCTGTGGTTTAGATGGTCCGCGGTTTAGATTAAAAGTGAGCCGCGATGTCAGGATTATCAGTTTAGACCATCAAATCAACGCTTATCAAGTCCATTGAGTTATCCGTGCAAATTCATAACCATCTATTTGCAAGATGGCAAGCCTATTAGAGACTTTGTGGTAAAATGTGTATTCAATATCTAAGAGTTGAATATTGGGCAATTTTGAAAGACATTTATTAAAACTATCCATTAATTTCAGATAATTTGTGGCAATCTGCACCAATATGAATCTATTTGAATGACAATGGTCTAAAATGAATTTCAATTATAAAGCGTCATCTATTTAACAGATCCGTCATCGATGACCATCAGATGGTCAAAAGACTTTGTGGGCAATCTCGTGCAGTTTCGAGATTTTAATAGGAAAAAATAAAAATTATCTTGTTTTTTACAGTTTTATTAAGTTTTGAATAAAAAAAAATTACAATACACTGTATTAATAATAGATTCTGGTCCACCCATCTATTTAGAGACTTTGTGGCAATCTGTGCAGTTTCGTATGATTTCAACAACGTTTAGCTTTTGTTGAACACTGTATAAGACATGTTTACATTTCATAATGGTGACTTAATATCTGGATATAAAAATGTTGTGACCTTAATGATATCTAGAGAGAAACTATGCAAAACTTTAATTTTTGCCTGTAATTATACAACAATTTAATGTGAGGGGATTTATGGACTTTTGAAACTTTTTAAAAGTGTTGAAATATGTTATTTGGCCGTAATGCCCAAATCCATTAATAATCCTTAAATCAGGATTTAAACGGATCTTCTTTGCAGATTATATAAATTATTTGGAAAAGCACACTATTGATATTAAAGGAAATCCCGTTGAGAAAATATGTGAAATTTTAAAGTTAAGATAACGGTTGTTAGCTCCATATTTCAGAAACAAAATGTCCGCGAAGTCCTAATCCACACCACCTACACAATCGTGAGTTTGAAATGCCAAAGCCTAAACAAGAATAAATGTCTGGGAAAATACGAATATACTGAAGGTATTAAAAATTGATTTAATGAATTTATTAAAATAAAAGATTTTACAGAAAAAAAATCAGATTTTAAAAGTGTAACAATTGAATATAGTTTGAATTTGTTTTTATTGGGATCGATTGATGATTTCTGATTCTAATATGAGCATGAGAAAAAATTTCGGGTCCATCGCGCATGCGCAGTTTAAACGACATCGTTTTTTATTGTTCCGCGTCTTAATGGCACTGATCTGTATTACGCCGTATTATCTTAGTTATTACCTAACTAATTTTATTTCATAATTTAAATAAACCACGATCAGTCAAAATATTGCTTGCGAAAGAATAATGAATGTTGGGGACACTAAAATTAACCCCTTACGGTAAGTGTGACACTGAGATCCTTTGCTAGGAAATTTGTCCCGGCTTTCCCGCATCAAAGGGTTGAGGTTAAAAATAGGGTTGAGGTTTAAATTTTTTGCGAAAAAACGCAAGGTTAGAGTGGACAAACTCTCTCTTTCAGGCGTGTACGAATAAAGAAAAAAAAACTCCTGCTCGGTGAGTAACAACAAAAGAAAAAAGTGTTTATTTACAACATATACAGAAAAAAAAGGTAAAGGGATATAAGGACAATTAGTAGAGAAAGAAAGGGGAAAGAGAAAATGTTCTTAACTTAAAAAAGGCTTGCTAAAAATATTTCTTTGAGCGCCTAAAGAGTTTTTTAAGCGATTAGATGTTTTTTGTTAAAGTTCTGATAGAACACTCATAGTTCTTGTAAAGTTGGAAATTTGTTTGCAGATAATGGAAGCCTGCAGCTGAGTGAGTTTTTTTTGGTCGACGACAGAAGTCCAGTTGGCTCGTCAGAAGGAGTGGTGAAGGGGTGCAGCTTTTTAGATTGGTTTTGAATAGTGGAGCGACGTTCGTTTTTGACAGCCCTTTTTAGTAGTAGTTCTTTGGTGAAAGAGGTGTTGGAGCTTCCTAATGTCGACCTCTCAGACGGTGGGCAGAAATCTCACAGTCGAAATAGGCAAGATTCTCCAAATTTATGGAGTTTTGGGAGGCTCCGATGGATCGTAGACTTTTCCCTCCAAAATTGTTGTACAAATTTCCTGGCCCCTCTATTGGTCAGAAAACACATTCTTATCTCTGATAAGAATCAGGGCCCTGGGAACCGGTTTCGAAGGCACTGAAAACAGGTTGAAGTGAAGAAGCTGTGAGGTTTCTCGCAGACTTTATGGCACCATGGAAAGAATAATGGTGGTGGAATTCCTTTTTATTTTCCAGCTCTCTCCTTAGTGAGAAAATATATTCTTATCTCTGATAGGAATGAAAGCCGTGGGAGCCGGTTTTGAAATTAAAAAGAGGTTAAAGTGAGGATAGAAAAAATAGCGAGAATGTGAACTTGTGAAATTGTTGTTCTCAATTTAAATTCCAACACATTAGATATATAGGGATGGCCAAGGGCACATTCCAAAAGCTAAGTAGATTATTGCTAGACAGGAGGATTTCTTTGGTAACAAAGAAAAGAGTACTGAGATGTTACGTGTCGTTCTTTACATCGGCGAATGTTGGACGGTCTCCTCATAGATGGAGAAGAGACTCAAATGTACATAGATGTGGTTGTACAGAAGAATGCTGAGGATATCATAGACTGAGCGTGTGAGGAACGACGAGGTCTTAGAGAGGATGCAAACAAGGAGGAGGCTTATATTTAATATCAGGAAGAGACAGCGAATGTTGGACGATTTCCTCAAAGATGAAGAAGAGACACGAGGCGACGGAGATGTGGTTCTACAGAAGGATGCTAAGGATATCATGGACTGAGCGTGTGAGGAACGATGAGGTCTTAGAGAGGATGCAAACAAGGAGGAGGCTTATACTTAACATCAGGAAGAGACAGCGAATGTTGGACGATTTCCTCAAAGATGAAGAAGAGACTCGAGGCGACGGAGATGTGGTTCTACAGAAGGATGCTAAGGATATCATGGACCGAGCGTGTGAGGAACGATGAGGTATTAGAGAGGATGCAAACAAAGAGGAGGCTTATACTTAACATCAGGAAGAGACAGCGAATGTTGGACGATTTCCTCAAAGATGAAGAAGAGACACGAGGCGACGGAGATGTGGTTCTACAGAAGGATGCTAAGGATATCATGGACTGAGCGTGTGAGGAACGAAGAGGTCTTAGAGAGGATGCAAACAAGGAGGAGGCTTATACTTAACATCAGGAAGAGACAGCGAATGTTGGACGATTTCCTCAAATGAAGAGACACGAGGCGACGGAGATGTGGAAGGATGCTAAGGATATCATGGACTGAGCGTTCCTCAAAAAACAAGGAGGAGGCTTATACTTAACATCAGAAGAGACAGCGAATGTTGGAATTTCCTCAAAGATGAGAAGAGACACGAGGCGACGGAGATGTGGTTCTGCAGAAGGATGCTAAGGATATCATGGACTGAGCATGTGAGGAACGATGAGGTCTTAGAGAAGATGCAAACAAGGAGGAGGCTTATATTTAATATCAGGAAGAGACAGCGAATGTTGGACGATTTCCTCAAAGATGAAGAAGAGACACGAGGCGACGGAGATGTGGTTCTACAGAAGGATGCTAAGTATATCATGGACTGAGCGTGTGAGCAAAGATGAAGTCTTAGAGAGGATGCAAACATGGAGGAGGCTTATACTTAACATCAGGAAGAGACAGCGAATGTTGGAAGATTTCCTCAAAGATGAAGAAGGGACTCGAGGCGACGGACATGTGGTCCTACAGAAGGATGCTGAGGATATCATGGACCGAGCGTGTGAGCAACGATGAGGTCTTAGAGAGGATGCAAACAAGGAGGAGGCTTATACTTAATATCAGGAAGAAGCAGCTGAAGTTTCTGTGGCGCATAATGAGAAAGGAGAGCTTGGAGAATCTGATACTCGCGGGTCAAATAGAGGGAAAGAGAGACAAGAGAAAACAACGCATGATGTGATTGTTCAACCAACATTCAATGTCATACAGAAGTTTTCTTTAAAACTTCTACTCTTTTCTTTGTTCAACGGGTTTTCAATGATACCTCATTTTTTTAAAAAGATTCGATTTTGTGCTTTTCTGTCAAATGACATGAAACCGAAATGAATTGAAACCCTACAGCCAAGATATGACAACAATATTCTATTCTTGGTTGTATCCGATTGTTATCAAGAGGAAGATTACATCCTTTCCTTCCTGTTGTAAAAAAAAATGTGAACAATATTGACAGAACCCAGCAGCAGTTTTATTTCTCATCGAGATACAAATAACCCACTTTGACTTTAAAAGCTCTTCAGTCTCCTCAGCCATTTCAAACAATGAAAAGGAATTTTACAACCAAGAAAAGAAAAAAAATAATATGTCGGTAAGTGCCTAAGGAAAAAAAAAAGCTGGAAAATTGACAAGGAAATAATGAAATAAAACATTAATCTTACATCCGAAAAAGGCAAGGTTTTCGCTTTGTGCCAGACAGTTTGAGGCAGAGTCTGTAATGTCAATTATCCCTCTCGTGTTGCCACCTGCAACGGGACTCTGCTATTTGGCTCGAAAATCTAATATCGTATCGAAAACATTTTCACGATATTACTTTTATTTCTGAAAATCCCCATTAAACTTATTCGGTGTTTATTTCCCACGTGAGGTGATGTAATTTGGCTGAGTGCTGTAATTCAGAATACCTAGTCTACACTAACTCTCACAAGTATAGATAGATAGATAGATAGATAGATAGATAGATAGATAGACAGACAGATAGATAGATAGATAGATAGATGAACAGACTGAGACAGATTAACAGAATGAGATAGATAGATATATAGATTGATAAACAGACTGAGTTAGATATATTGATAAACAGACTGAGATAGATAGATAGATTAAGATAGATAGATTAAGATAGATAGATAGATAGATAGATAAACAGACTGAGATAGATAGATAGATAGATAGATAGATAGATAGATAGATAGATAGATAGATAGATAGATGAACTGACTGAGACAGATGAACAGAATGAGATAGATAGATATATAGATTCATAAACAGACTGAGTTAGATAGATTGATAAACAGACTCAGATATATATATATATATATATATATATATATATATAGATAGATAGATAGATAGATAGATAAACAGATTAAGATAGATAGATAGATAGATAGATAGATAGATAGATAGATAGATAGATAGATAGATAAACAGATTAAGATAGATAGATAGATAGATAGATAGATAGGGCAACAGGGCGAAGTCCCAGCGTTCAAAACCCCAGTGGACAATAACCATGTGGTCAATATCTCAGCCTCTTATCCCAAAAGTGGACAAAATCCCAGTCTCATCAATAAAAGTCAAATATAGAAAAGGAAACACAAGGAACATTGAAAATTCAAGGAACGTTTAATTCAAATTTTAATGCCAAATTAGTAATAATATTCAATATATATATTTATATGTACAAGAAATTTAATTCTTGAATAAAAACTTGATTTAAGCCCTTAATTCAACATAATATATATTCGTATACGATCTCCGTGGTTTGTTTACGTTTTGGCGAAAACTTTAAATTACCCTATTCGTAAAACTTTCTTCATATAAAGTAGAGGCTTATGGGATACTAGAACGCCCTAATTATGAAATATATCAAATATGCAGCAGTAGCATTGTCAGAAAACCTATTTTAGTGGTTGGATCGGTTTACTATAAGTATAGTGTGGACCTATAAACTCGTTAAGTACCCATCAGACATCGTTCTTTCTTTAAAAAAAAAATGTTTTTCGGGGCAGTATAACATACACCTTTTCGATATCTCGTATGTGCTTTTTGATTCCGGAGGAAGCAAAAATATACGTAATGGGTGTTAATAATATGTTAAAAAAAATTCTGAATTACCTCCCTTGACTATCCGTAGTGGAATATAATGTACGATAATTCAATAATTAAAATTAATTCAGAATAAGTCATTGAGAAGATATAAATATTTTTCTGACATCAAATGTAGTACACAAAGTAAAATTATTACTCAATCTAATATTTTTTTTATAAACGTGTACAGAATAAAACATTAGATTCTTAAAATAGTGAGTAAATCAAGTTAAAGATAATTTATTTTAAAACATAGACACCAATTTCTAGTTATTACACTTTCGGTGTTCCGTATTTCTTTAATTTGAATTCATTTTCCCCTGCTTTTGAAGTCAGGGATTACATTAGAAAACTACTGCAGCTGTTTTGGGGACGGTACAAGGGGATTAAGTACTTGTAATTAATCTTATAATCCAATCGGCACCGGTCACATGGTAAACGCCATCTTATGGAGGGTAAAAAAAAACAAAAAAACAAAACAAAACAGAAGAATGCTTAGCGGGACTTTTATCAACTGTACTGTCTCGCTTTTGATAATGGACAGACTGAGATAGATAGATAGATAGATAGATAGATAGATAGATAGATAGATAGATAGATAGATAGATTTAGATAGATTTAGACAGACAGACAGACAGACAGCTTGGTGGGACTTACTCTCGAATTCGGTCACCTTTGAATTTCCCTACTATTCCAGACATTTTTTGCATTAACATATGCAACGCGAAGTCTTTATATTTTTTTCTTTCAGTATTTCACGGTGTTTGCAGAGACGGAAGTAAATTCCCTTTTCAGACATTAGTAGATTCATATAGGTGTCTTTCCAAGAAGAAAAAAAAACCACAAAAACTCGGGAGCAGTAACATCTACTCTTCGTAACTTATGACATAACAAGAATAGATAAATGTAATTTTCATTACATTTTACACGAAAAGTAAGCATTATTTTTACAAACTCCAGTTACCGTATATATATATATATATATATATATATATATATATATATATATATATATATATATATATATATACGAGGCTCATTCAATAGATAAGGTGAATTTTTCAGTATAAGGACTTCTAATACAGATAGAAGCTTACTATTTTTTTTGTTTTACTTCTTTTTCACATGGATTTAATTTCTTTTGCAGATTAAAAACACCTTTGAGAGTTTTGGCGATTAACAAAGATGGCCGACCAAGAAGCATGCTCCAGGATTGAACAGCGGTCAGTTATCAAGTTTTTGGTTGCTGAAGGGTGCAAACCAGTTCAAACTCACTGTATGGTGAACTGTTTCAGGCAAAGAAATGTCTACAAGTCTAAATTGTTTAAAGAAGGATAAAGTGTTGACGATGAAGAAGACGCATGAAGTGAGGTCATCAATCAGTCTAATTCAGTCTGACAGAAGAACTCATCTTGCAGGTCAAGAAAGACATGACAAACGCAGGGGTCATCAGTCAGAAGGAGTCTCTTGCATCACAACAAGGCCCAAATCAGCCCAAACGGTGCAGTCCATCAACGAGCTGGGCTGGGAACTGCTCCTTCATCCCCTTACAGCCCAGACCTTGCCCCTTCAGACTTTCACCTGTTTGGTCCCTTGAAAGCGTTCACGAGAGGCACGAAGTTTAAAAGTGACGATGAAGTCAAAAGTGTTGTGAGCGACTAGCTGAGACATCAGTCCAAAGATTTTTACGCTAAGGAATACGGAAGCTTGTGCACAGATGGGAAAAGTGTGTGACAGTGCTGAGAGACTACGTTGAAAAAAAAAAAAAGTAAGCTTTTATCTGTATTATACCAAAAAATCACCTTATTTATTGAATGACCCTCGTATATATATATATATATATATATATATATATATATATATATATATATATATATTATGAAATGGAGAAAGTTCGAAAAATATTTTAATACATTTTTTATGTTTATACGTTCTTTTTATAGATACAAATATTTAAGTAAATGCCCTGTTTATAATAAACAGCATGAATGACATTTACCGATCTGAACGTCCGAGAAATTTTCATAGACGCATATTTTCTATGACAATTTCTCGGACATTCTAAGGTTTTTTTATTTAAATCATTTGAAAAAAGTTTGTATGTTATTGTTTTATTTTATTTATATTTTTCATTATCATTATTACTATTGTCTTATATTTTATTTTTATTTATTTACAGTAATATTTCTACAATGTCAATGATATAAAAGAAAAAAAAATATCTGCTCTCGCGAGACGGATTCGAACCATCGACCTAAGGATCACCATTACAACCACACTACAGTCCTCCGCTCTGCCAACTGAGCTATCGCGAGAAGCCAGACGGCTGTATCTGAAAAAGCTATTTAACATAGTGAATGATTACCTGCCATTATCTGTATATAAAGTCAATTAAGTTTTCATGTGGTTGCTCCAGTTTTTCAAAGAGGTTCGCATTTTTTTGCAGGCATAATTTTAGTAACAGAAACACTTAAGAGGTGGGAACTAATTAAGGTCAGTTGATGCCATAAACATCGCCTGACAATGGTGTCAGCAACTAAAATAAAAAAAAAATGAATGAGTAAAAATTACGGTGAGATCTATATGTCGACTTCATTCAGTTCTTTTACTCGACGCTCTCCTTAATAAATTCCTTTCTTTTTTTTTTTAGATTCTTTCACGCAGACTAGCGACGGGACTGCACGTTATGTATTATAGATATAACATTTACGAACAAACCACCCCGATTATGACGACGCAGCGGGTCGTTCGGCGCGCGTGGTCTAAAGGCGGTTCGGTCCACGCGGCGTTTCTGTCGTCGGCGGCCAGCGGCGTTTGCTCGTCGTCTGCGTTGCCGTCGTCGCTTAAAAGGATGCGTAGCGTCGCTCCGTTTCGCGTTGCCGCCGCGGGCTTCCCTGTCGCTGTTTCCGTGCGGTTTCCAGGAAGAAGATGTTAATACTGATTTCCTGTGTGTAGGTTTCGAAATATGGTAAAGGATGCGTATTATACGAAAATAATTATGGTAAAGAGAAACCAAGGAATATTATTGACTAATAAGATGCTGGAACTTCATTAGCCTCTACAGCTGCTTTGATTCTACGTGGAATGGAATCCAATTTTATCCCATTCTTCAATCAAAATCTCGGAAACTTCCTTCAGCGATGACAGGGAAGGAAATATGTTCCTTACTCTCCGCTCTAGAACTTCCCATAATGCTTCATTTATTTTGGCAATGGAAGATCTTTAATCACGTTATGATGTTCATCAAACCAGGACTTCGCTTTTTATGTAATGTGTATGGGTGCATTATCATCTTGCAATATGACATTTTTTTGGCAGCAGTATGATAGCCAATGTAAGGACATTGTCATTGACAATATTAAGATATTTATATTCCACCACTAGCAGTAGAGCCCGGCGTTGCCCGGGTATGTAACAGTAAGAGATAGATCAAGTATCGACCATCATAAAGACTGAAAAATAAAATTGACAAAGATTATTGTTTAAGGTTGACGGACACGCATGTCTTAATTAGTTTTTTTTTTTTTACGAATTGGTCAAACTGTTATACTACCTATTCTATGGTAAATAGGCTCTCCCACAGATAATAAGTAGTGGTAGTAGCAGTTGCCGGAGAGCTCAGTAGCTGAGTAAGTCAGTCGATGTTGGACATTAAAGTATGAGCCCCACAACTAGATTTGCTGCGTCATTAACTACTATTGCAAGTTCCTAACGTTTTGTACGTCGAACACTTTTAGGACAGACTTAGTGAAGTACAAGCCTCCATTGTGAAAAACTACTCTACAATACAAACCCAAACTCAAACAAAAACATTGTTTTTAATCGTTATGAGTCTACCGATTGAATAGAATTTTATTATAAACAATTGTCTTGTAAATGGAATTTTTAAAGCATTCTGAATGTAAAAATAAAGAAAAAAAGTGTGCAAGACAGTAAGAAACACAGTACCTGCCAAAAAAGTGAGGTTTTGTTGAAATCGGTTGAAAAATGTAGGAAATTCGATCCCATATATAAACGAACACAGACACACACACAAAAAAACCTGGGTTTTATAATAAGTATAAATCGATATGAGTTGTCCCCTTTCATTCTCGCGATGCCTCTTAATCGTGTTTTCAAATTGATTTCGTGCAAAAACAATTGTGTTTTTCCAATTTTGGTCAAACCCAAACTCAAACAAAAACATTGTTTTCAATCGTTATAAGTCTACCCATTGAATAGAATTTTATTATAAACAATTGTCTTTTAAATGGAATTTTTAAAGCATTCTGAATGTAAAAATAAAGAAAAAAGTGTGCAAGACAATAAGAAACACTACCTGCCAAAAAAAGTGAAGTTTTGTTGAAATCGGTTGAAAAAATGTAGGAAATCCGATCCCATATATAAACGAACACACGCACACAACCTGGGTTTTATAATGAGTATAACTCGATATGAGTTGTCCCCCTTTCATTCTCGTGAGCCCTCTTAATCGTGTTTTCAAATTAATTTCGTGCAACAACAATTGTGTTTTTCCAATTTTGGGCGCTGTCAGAACCACCGCAAGGTAATTTTACGTAGTCCTGTGAAGTTTTGTTGAAATCGGTTGAAAAATGTAGGAAATCCGATCCAAAATATAAACGTACAGACACACACACACAACTTGGGTTTTGTAATAAGTATGATTACGAGTGATGATAGGACCTGACGGATACCATAAAATTTCCGTCCAAACCATTACTGAGCCACTCCCATGGTTGACTCTCGGGACTATGCAATCCGGGTCATAGGCCTCACTCGGCGGTGTTCTCCATACATAAACATGCTCTTTTGTAGGAAATAACGTGAATGAAAACTCATCAGACCAAATAACGTTTTACCATTCCTGGTGTGCCCAATTTTCATGATCATCAGACCATTTTTTTTGTTCGCAAATTGGTGTTCGACTTTTTGATCAAAGTTTTAGGAATCGCAGCCTTTCCTTGAATACCAGATTTGTGAAGCTCTCCACGGACTGTGCTTTGTAAAAACGGTATTGGTCATGTGTCTAATAAGTTCTGAAGTCACTTTTGCTGCAGTATTATTATTATTATTATTGTTTTCCACAAGTCGATTTAAAGCTTGTCGGACTCTTTTTGTCAACTTTGATTTCCGTCCACTATTACGTTTTGCTGCTGATGTTTTGCTGATGACGTTTTGCTGCTGATGTTTTGCTGATGACGTTTTGCTTATTATGTTTTGCTGATGACGTCCTCTGATGACGTTTTGCTGATGATGTTTTACTGATGACGTTCTGCTGCTGATGTTTTGCTGATGACGTTTTGCTGCTGATGTTTTGCTGATGACGTTTTGCTTATTATGTTTTGCTGATGACGTCCTCTGATGACGTTTTGCTGATGATGTTTTACTGATGACGTTCTGCTGCTGATGTTTTACTGATGACGTTCTGCTGCTGATGTTTTGCTGATGATGTTTTGCTTATTATGTTTTGCTGATGACGTCCTCTGATGACGTTTTGCTGATGATGTTTTACTGATGACGTTCTGCTGATGACGTTTTGCTGCTGATGTTTTGCTGATGACGATTTGCTTATTATTTTTGCTGATGACGTTTTGACGTTTTGATGATGGCGTTCTGCTGCTGATGACGTTTTGCTGATGATGTTTTGCTGACGTGATGACGTTTTGCTGATGATGTTTTACTGATGACGTTCTGCTGATGATGTTTTGCTGCTGACGTTTTGCTGCTGATGTTTTGCTGATGACGATTTGCTGATGATGTTTTGCTTTTTTTTGTGTTATGACTAACCGTGGATATTACAGCTCGTGACACAATCAATAATTCAGACGTTTTGATTACAGATGCTCCTGGTAATCGAGTATCAACAATCTCTTCTCTTTGAAAATCCGACAGGTTGCGCATTTTAGTATATAACTCATTTACCTGAAGATAAATAATGACTTAATTAAGTGGAAAAGCAATGACTAAACTGCTGAGCTGTTACCCCTTTATGTCTGTTTGATGCTTACATATACCCGGATGGTATTTTTGCATTACATTATGTTTACATTATTTTCTCTAACCCTTATATATATATATATATATATATATATATCAGAAATGCCTTAAAATAGTTGTCGAATTTTGTCCATTTCATATATATATATATATATTGGACAAATTCCGACAATTTTTTAAAGACATTTTTCATGTTTATACGTTCTTTTTATAGATAAAAATATGTTAGTAAATGCTCTGTTTATAATAAACAGTATTAACGACATTCACCGGCCTGAATGTCCGAGAAATTTCATAGAAAATATTCGTCCTCCGACAGGAATCGAACCTGCATCCTATACGGAACCGTCATATAGCCTGACGTGCCTTAACCGATCGAGCAACGGGGGACCATTCGATTAGCATGGTTGATTTTACTGCTTTTAAACTTCAACCTTCCATGAATCTCTCACGTACATTCACATCTGCCCGATGCGTATCCAAATGTAAACAAATGACGCCACACATTATGAAATGGACAAAATCCGACAATTATTTTTAAGATATTTTTTATGTTTATACGTTCTTTTCATAGATACAAATATTTAAGTAAATGCTCTGTTTATAATAAACAGTATTAACAACATTTACTGGCCTGAATGCCCGAGAAATTTTCATAGACGCATATTTTCTATGACAATTTCTCGGACATTCAGGCCGGTAAATGTTGTTTAATACTGTTTATTATAAACAGACCATTTACTTAAATATTTGTGTCTATAAAAAGAACGTATAAATATAAAAAATGTCTTTTATATATATATATATATATATATATATATATATATATATATATATATATATGTAGTTTGGTTTATTTTACGTTATATCAACCTCAGTGGGTTATTTAATGCCGACAAAATTGCTGGTAATTTTTTTCAAAATGTATAGTTCGTAATTTTTTAAATGTATAGCTTGTAATATTTTTTTCAAAGATATATTGCTGGTGATATTTGTTTTCAAAATTGTATTGCTGGTAATAATGAATTGTTGGTAACGATTTTTCTTCAAAACTGTATTGCTGGTAATCATTTTTTACAAAGTATTTCGAGTATTAGAACCTATTTTTACACTTTCATAGTGTTTTGACCCCAGTTTTTGCGGGTTTATTATTTACTCATAGCTGGGACCCTAACAGGTGCTACCAACATCAGGATGGACCTGGGAAAAATCATCAATTAAGAGGTGGTTCCACGCACTTCAAAACCGCCTTGCTGTTGGACGTAGTTTAACGTCTACCCAGGACGCGGATTTAGTTTATCGTCATACTTAGAACGGTCTATATATATATATATATATATATATATATATATATATATATATATATATATATATATATAAGAGGAACATTTCATCCGTCCCTTAATTAGTTGGGCATGAGACTACCAAACATCAACCTGTACAAAACATGCTTGCTATGGAAACTATAACAGCAATACTTAGTATACTGGGAGCTAGGGTCCCATATGGATGACGGTTTGGTGAAACCTGTCGATCATATCACCCCTTTTCGAGCGAGTTATCAGATCCGAGGAATTTTATCCCCTTTACGCCGTTTATGCTAACAGTCGCTGGATGACGGTCAAGTGACACCATGTTGCTCCTTATCGGGCGAGGAGTTAATTCTCATAGACTTAACCCCATTCACGCCTTTAGCTTTCATATTTCGTTTGGGGATCGCCATGGTATTTCTTGGGACTGATAGTGAAGTGGTTTCCCGTTGTCTTCTCCACGGGGATTTATTGAGACACCACCTACACAGTTCTAACCATGTTTCAAAAATGGAAGCTAAAAGCCCCGAATTTAATTTTGTAATTAAATTAAAGACATTAGTTCCATTTCATCCTCAAGCGAATTTTTTTTTTTTTAAAATTCGCTTGAGGATGAAATGGAATTAATGTCGTTAATTTAATTTAAATGGAACTAATGTCGTTAATTTAATTACAAAATTAAATTCTGAGCTTTTAGCTTCCATTTTTGAAACATGGTTAGAACTGTATAGCGAAAAAAACATATTTAAAATCAATATATATATATATATATATATATATATATATATATATATATATATATATATATAGGGTGAAAAAAGGTAGGAAGATGTTGGAAAGAATGAAAAAATTAACAAATTAAAACAAAAAAAGAATAGATTCAAAATTAACAGGATGCATATTTAAAAAACAGGCGAGTTTGCATGATGGAGTTTGACCAAAGTTAATGAAGAGTGGCAAGAATATGCTATTCGACGCCATAGAGTTTGATTAAAATTTTCTCTCATATGTCAAGTTTTGCATATATTCCAAAGCAGTCAACTATTCAGATTTCTCCAGTATTGCCCGAAGAATACCCTAATTCTTACAAAAGGCTTAAATAAGAAAAATACAGAGTATAGCATTTGCTGGCTTTTTCACCCATCTCCATGACACCTAAAATATTGGGGTTTGGGGCAAATATCCAGATCTCGATTAAAAGTATTGCATGGCAGAAGAAACCAGATGTCGCAGCAAATACTCTGGACATATCCACAGATAATCGTAATACGACAGGCTTCTGGGAACATCGGATAAAACTCTTTATTCAATCAATGGGGAGTCATCAATTCATTTCCCTATCTGTCACATACAGGGTCATTTTTAAGGAAATAGTTGCCCTTTACAATGAGCTTCTACAACACCCGCTGAGCCATAGGTGTACAGTATCTGAAATATGTAAAAAAAAAAAGAAGATCCTATTATTATATCGATTAGATACATGATAAAGGCATTTAAGATCTCGACAAGGAGAAATATATATATATATATATATATATATATATATATATATATATATATATATATAAAATACAAATATAGATAACTATCAAATAATCAAATCAATCTCGAGGGAAAAAAAGGTTTTAAAAAAAGAAAGAGCTAGAAACATGAAAGTCTGTCGAAAAAAATCGCACAGATACAGGTTCAAAGCCCAAAGAAAAAACCCGACACGAGTAAACAACTAACTAACAAAAGAGCTCAATACAACTGTAGAGCAGACCTAGATAAACCTAGTGAGCCAGACAAACCTACGCAGGTTTCACCTAAGCGGATCGTCAGGAGAGCCAGCTTTCCCTGACGATCCGCTTAGGTGAAACCTGAGTAGGTTTGTCTGGGTCACTAGGTTTATCTATCTATCTATCTATCTATCTCTATATATATATATATATATATATATATATATATATATATATATATATATATATATATTAAATAGGTCAAAGTCTGATCCTTACCCCTCCTTCCTCAATATTAAGTATTATAAAGAAATATAAAAATAAATTTTAAAATTCTCCCTTCCCTCTCTAAACTCGACCATGTCTCTCACACCATTCCTCGCTACCTTCTATGTTAACTTATATAAGCTTAATACTGCCCGTCAAAAGTGTAAAATTTATTTAATTTTTCGTTTCACCTTTTGAAAGTGATGTTTGAAGATCCAGGAAGAGTTAAAAGTCCCTGGTGAAATAAACTATTACAATGTAGCCTTAAAGTGGTCTGTTTTTCTTTAAATTATATATATATATATATTAAGACAAATGGACAAAGTCCGACAATTTATTTATTAAAGACATTTTTATGTTTAACGTTCTTTTTTATAGATACAAGTATTTAAGTAAATGCTCTGTTTATAATAAACAGTATTAAATAACATTTACCGGCCTGAATGTCCGAGAAATTTTCATAAAAATATCCGTTCTTTGAAGTATTCGAACCTGCATCCTATACGGAAACGTCATTTTACGCCTGACGATCGGCCTTACAAAGAAGCGTTCGGTAGATAAGGTCGAATTTACTGCTTATAAACTTCAATTTTCCATGAATCTCGTACATTCATAACTGCTCTGGCGTATCAAATGTAAACAAATGACGTCATATATTAAGAAAAATGGACAAAGTCCGACAATTTATTTATTAAAGACATTTTATATTTTATTTGTGTGTGGGTTCCTTTAAATATGGGAGCAGATTTCCTATATTTTTAGCCGATAAAACAAAACTTTTTTTTTTTAGTTTCATTCAGAATGCTTTTTTTTATTTTAAATTCAGAATTCCATTTACAAGACAATTATTTATAATAAAATTCTATTCAATTGGGAAACTCATAACGATTGAAAAATAATGTTTTTGTTTGGGTTTTAGTTTGACCAATTCGTAAAAACAAACAAACAAAAAAAAAAACTAATTAAGACATGCGTGTCCGTCAACCTTAAACAATAATCTAACGATCTCTACTGATTGTACGAATACAAACATCGGATAAATTCTTTATCTTTAGGAAAGATAATGAAATCTAAAACATACACAAGTCCTAACTAAAAATAATAACCGAACGGGAAACTACTTTAAATACACATGGTGTCCAATTTTTTACTGTATTCAATAAGTAAAAATCATAAATTGTAAAAGATTATTATTACAGAAAGGCTACTAAATGAATAAAATTATTCTATTCAATCGGGAGACTCATAACGATTGAAAACAATGTTTTTGTTTGAGCTTGGGTTTGACCAATTCGTAAAAAAAAAAAAAAAAAAACTAATTAAGACATGCGTGTCCGTCAACCTTAAATATTATTCTTTGTCAATTTTATTTTTCAGTCTTTATGATGGTGGATACTTGATCTATCTCTGTTATATCCCCGGGCAAAGCCGGGCTCTACTGCTAGTCTGTTATATAGGAATAGATATCACTGCCGACACTTTAATTTGAACATAGATCGCCAGTGAGTAAATACAGGCTATCCTATTATAAATTATTATTATAAACATAGAGGAAACGCATATATCGGAGGTAGCGTGCGTCTAATTGATCGCTATTTCTATTCTATCCTCTATTACGATACGAATCACCATTTCTATTCTATCCTGTATTAATATACGGATCGCTATTCTCTACTCTATTTACTATACAATTTCTCTATTCGCTGGTTACTTCCCAAGGGAGTATTATCGTGCAAGTACTATTAGTGCGAGATTTATCGAAGGCGTCTGACAACATTATTGTTCAACGGCGTACTATATTTGTATCTGCAATTACAAAGTCTCTACTACAACGAGCATTACGGAAGGGACAACGAGTATTCGTTGACATCACAAAAATATCAAACGCTTCATTCAGTATTCCTGTACCAAAATATGTTTCGGTTTTAAATAATCCTCAAAATAAGCCGTAAAAAGTCAAATGAATCACATTAGAAACTTCATTCAATAATACTCTATAAAACTATTTGTTGGTTTTATATAATCCGCAAACGGTTGATAAAAGGTAACGGACAAATCAGTCATATCATACACACCATTCAGTTATCCTTTACCAAAATGTCTCGATGTTAAATAACCCACATTATGTTGATAAGCCATAAGAAAAACAAATATCACATAGACATTCAGTAACGTTTCACTGGCTCTTGTCCTTTGAAGTGGGTGGATATTAATAAAAAAAGAAGAAAACAAACAAAAACAAAAACAAAAAACATATGCTTACCAGTAAATGCTGTAACTGAAGAATGAGATTGTAATCAATTGGACGAGATCTGGTCTTCGATAAAATCTATCTTTTTTACGGCTAAAATAGATTGCATTATTAGAAGTGCATTTATATCTTTCGTCATCTTCGCAAATGATCCTTAATAAACATGGCCTTGATTAAACCGGAAGTCTTCGCCATTATACAGATTAAAGCTTTGTCTTAATTTGTTGACAGCATGAAGAAGAAAAACAGGGTGAGTAAATCGACACAATGTAGAAGGATTATTTTCCAAACGTTAAACTCTCTCTTACAGTCATGATGTGGCGAGTCTCTCACTGCTCTATCGCTACTACAAGGAAAGTGCTCAGACGAACTGCATCTCTTGATATCTTCTTCTCTTGTTCTTGTAACGGCATTCACCCGAGGTGGGTTGAGCCGGCTCCAATATTGGAGTTTCATGGGAATTTGGAATTCACAAGCGGTCCCCAACCCGCATGTATAGCACATGAGATTTGATTATAGTGGTGAAGGTTTCGTGCAGGACCATCCACACTTTTTGAAGGACCAATTACAGAGACCTGGTGCACTACGTGCCACAAGGTCCCCAAAACGACCCTCCGAAGGTTTTGAATTCAGAGTTTTCCTTCTCCTAGACCAGTTGCCATCCAAGGCTATAGAACCCAATCTGTCCTGCTATTTACCCATAGTTGCAGGGAGAAGAAGAGGATTCACACCTTTCCTAAGGGTATTAGCACGTAAGTGAATGTAATGGATTCGACTGGAATTCGAACTCGGCTCTCCGATTCCTCAATCCAAGACGCTATCCATTACTCCACCGTGCCTCCTCATCTCCTGATTCCACCATGTCAGGCCTTCATGCCACTAACATATTAGCAAACTACCCGCGTTCCTTCGCTATTTCATCGGCGAGAAATAAGTTTCAAACAGCTTCTTCCCGCGAAACACTGACTATGGAGCAGACTCCCTAGAGGATGTCTCCCCGATCACAGCAATCTTAACCTGTTAAATCTAGAGTCAACCGTTATCGTCCCCTCCTATCCATATAAATATATACCCATTAATGTAACCCTCTACCTCGAGTCCCGGGCCTTATACATGGTGAACCTGACTGTACAAATTAACACGAGATAGGTGAGCATTCTACAAAAAATGATTCTCCGGGAATTTTCAACCACGCTCCAATATGGCAGTGAATGCAGGACAATAAATATGACCCATTAAATGTGACCCATTAAATGTGGCCCATTAAATATGGCCCATTAAATAGGGCCCATTAAATGTGACCCATTAAAAGATTTTCCGAACCTTATTTTATTTAGAATAACCCGCTTATTGCATATGGAGAAAACTTTCGACAATATCAATGATTAAAGCACCACCCTTTGTATTAGTTACCTACGAAATTGAATGCTGAACCCACAGATGAAGAAGATCATTGAAGATAAAGTAATGTGGGTGTACAGGAGGATGCTGAGTATACCATGGACCGAATATCTGAGCAAGGACGAAGTTTTAGAGAAAAGAAACAAAAACGATTGAAATTTCTAGGACACATAATGTGGAAAGAGGATTTGGAGAATCTGATACTCACAGGACAATGGCTTTATATATCATATTGTTGCTTAGACATGTATTGTTTACTGGGCAGTTTTCTTTGTTTCCGCAGTTGCATTTGTTTATACTGCTTTGCTGGTTTATGTTATCATAACAAACAACATTAACACAGAAGAAAAAAATACATAGAAGCCACAGAAACAATTTTCAACGAAAGATTTATCAATCGCAAAACAACACTTAAAACAAAAAAATACAAAAGCAATACAACACTATCAAAATATATATGGAGCCAAAAAGAATATAGCATCACCATAAAATTAAATGGGAAATCATAAAAAG